CTATCGCCTCTATTTCCACAAGCAACCTAATTAGTCCTAAAGAGAGGAAAGCTGACAAGCAGAGTAGAGAGGCAGAGAGAGAAAAGACCAGCTATCATGTCCATTTGTGTGGGTTTGGAACAGCAATTGAATGTGTTTGTGTGTGTCTGTGTACGGATGTATTTCTCCCCCTGTTTTTCCCTTTCTTTTTGTTGTTGTGTCCTCACTCTTTCATCTCCTTTTTTTCCAGAGAAAGAAAGCCTTCAAAGGAGCGATTGTGCAGGGCGGCTGAAGTGGTCTGTGGTAAAGCGGACAGCGAGCAACACAACAAACATGGCTGGCACTAATCAGGGCCCCGCTAATGTAAACAATGTCATTTTTTGCCCTTAATGAGCCAATTTTCCGCAGATACGAGAGGGCTAACAATTGGGGCAGCGCCTTGATGTGATTCATCTGAAGGTTTGTTTGTGATCGCTGGCACTTTTTGTTGGAAGCCCTGCGCCCAGCTGCTTTCATCTAACCCTGAAAAGGGAGAGCCACGACTCACTTGGGTACAGAGGGAGGAGGGAATAAAAATAATAATTTCTTTTCTTTCCCTTTTTTTTAGAAGACAACCACCCTCCCCCTTTATTATAAACTCGTCCTAATCAGCTGACCGGCCCCCTCTTTTTTGTCTCCCTCCCCTTTAGCCCAACACACACTTCTGTGAACATGCATACATATACAAGAGCGAAGGAGCATCATCCATGAGGGATAAAAAAAAATGAGCATCATTCGTGCTGGGTGTCTATGGCGATCAAATAGCGAACTCATTAAAAGGCGCCCCGGTGTGCGAGCGGTGGACACTGACAGGGCCTTCATTAACATGGTGCTGACAAAAGGTGAGGCAGACCAAAGAGGCAGCCGGCGGGCCAGGTGTGTGTGCCGCGGCGCCTTTCAAGATGGCACCATGGCCAGAGGCAGGCGAGATGGCAAGCACACTCCATCAAATGGCATACTGACCAAGAACAAGCTGGTTCTGTTGAGAGAGAGAAATAAAGAGAGACAGAGTCAGATAGAGAGAGAGAGAAAGCTTTCACTGTGCACTAAAACCTCCAAACTTCCCATCTGCTATAAGCTAATCCTGTCATTTTATCTGCAAGCAATGATTCATTTCATAAAGCAGATCAAATCTTTCAATGAAAGTTCCTGGACCAGGAAAACATGTCTTGCTGTGCTGATTATCATAATAAAGTGAACTCTTCAAAGTTCAGCACAAGGCCACAAAAAACACAAATAACAAAAACAAAACAGGAAAGCAGAAAGAGAAAGAGAGGGGTATTGATGTAATGAAGGTAGTCAAAGGTAGTGACCAAAGGCAATACATCGCCCCATGTCCAGGCCTATTCCAATCAATCACTGGAGCTGAAGTGAAGTCAACTCCAGGCTAGTCAGTCAGCTAGGCCCACAAACATCCACATATATATATATATATATATAATATATATAATATATATATATACACACACACACACACACACACACACACACACACACACACACACACATACGCACATACACACCTCTGTCTGCCTCTCTGGCCATGAGTCAGGGGCCCTCTGGGGCCAACCACACATACACACACATTGCACCTGCTGGGCCCTGCAGTTACCAGCTGTCAACTCCACGTGTTCTGTGCCGTCTGTTTAGTGTGTGTGTGTGTGTGTGTGTGTGTGTGTGTGTGCGTGTACACGCGCCTGTGTGCGTAAGAGTAAAGGGTTGCGAAAAGTTACATGCCTCAGCTGGACCATGAACTGAGAGGAAGAAAGTGATGAGGGACCTTCAAGGACATTTAACTGCATTCAACAAATGTTCAAACAAAACCAAATTAACTAGCTTGGTTTCTGGTTCAAATTAATTTATAATAGATAAAGTAAATAAAAACAGCTGCATGTTTTTAAATAATAATGGAATAATAATGGATAAGACTCAACTTTTCTAAACCCATGTAAGAGCGCTGAATCCTTAAATCAAGCTGTGGAGATTAATGGTTTTGACGGAGACAGTAACACACTGGGAAAGTTCCCAAAGATCAGGCTAAATGATATAAAACTGCCTTCCATAAAATCAGCTCTTCATATACTGATGAATCAATTAGTCGCTTAAATCATTAGTCGACCTGATTAAAAAAAATTGTTAGCAATACTGATAATCAATTAATTGTTAAAGTAATAGACCAAGCAAATGTCAACCTACCAAGCATGTCAAACACTGACTAGATCCCACTTCTGAAACGCAAGGATTGGCTGCTCATCTGTCGATTGGAAAAAGCAAGTAATTTAAAGACATCACCCTTGTCTCTGGGAACTATGTCTTAGACTACAGAGACTATATGTCTTTCTACTATGTTCAGGCATTTTATAGACTAAACAATTCACTAATTACTGAAAAAAAAAACTCAACAAATTAGCTAGTTACTACATGATATACATCAAAAAGTGATACAGTAAAAGCAGAAATAAGCATTAACCAGTAAAATGGATAGTTTTGGTGTAAAAAATAACACATTACACATTACATTGTTTACCTCGAAGGCATGACCTTAATCCTGAGCTCCCTCCACCTCTGTAAGGGACAGAGAGATAGGAAACTAGGCTCAGGCAACAATGAATAACATGTCTGTTTTGGGGGGGGGGGAATCAATAATGTGTTGTGATGTGAAACTGATTCCCCACTGGATTTCACTGTGCTCTGTGCAAGCTTATTCTCTGTGTGGCCCTAAGGTAAATAGTGTACTTTGTTACAGTGTGTAGCAGTAAGCCTTGGAGACCTGTGCAGCGATTAAGCCGTACTGGAGCACATTAGCCCAGGCCATGTCATGGCAGGCTGAAACAGGCCTGGCATGGAAGGGAAAAGGATGAAGGGAGGGCTATACCAGAGGGAAGGAAAGAAAAAAATGGGATCAAAAGAGAGTAAATGAACTAAAAACAGGACAGGAGGGCAGGGCGAGGAGAGGAATGTGAGGGAAGAGTAAAAAAGGACAAATATTAAACAAGAAAGAAAGAAAATGAGAGAGGAAAAAAGCGTGACAGTGAAATGACATGTGTGTGACTTCATGTCATACAGTTTGTGTGTGCATCGTCATACAAGACTTCACTCCTCCACAGAAGCATTTTCACACCCAGAGAAAGACAAGATGAGCAAGCGCAAGACACTTTGTAGTGTCACTGCTGACAGTAAAGCAAAAGACAGTAGGGATGGCTAGCAGGAGTGATAGAAGGGTGGTTAAAGAGAGGATAACAGAGACACGACAGGAGTGGAGAGAGTGACAAATTCCCTGCTGATGGCTATTTACAGGCTATTCCTCCTCACGGCAGAAACCTGAGGCCTCAAACCCCTTTCTCATTTCCCCCTCTTTATTTATCCCTCTCCTTCCTTCTGTGGGAAATTTGTCACTTTTGCATAATGGTACTATATACTGATGTGGAGTGGTGTGAGGCGCTGGTGGAAGCGTGGTGGCAATATGCACAACCCAAGGTGTGATGGAGAAAGTGGGGACAGGTAATGGAAGAGAGGACAGAGAGAAGTTGATAGCAGCAATTCCTTCCTCAATCTCTGAGGGAAAAAAAATCACTGACCATCTTCCTAAACCCACAACCCCCCTTTCTTTTTCTGTCCCCCTTTGCCCCCGTCGACCACCTCTCCCCTCCATCCCTCCCTCTTGCACACCCCTCCTCTCTTTCACTCTCTCCTTTGCCTCTGCACACTCTCCACCCCCCCCCCCCCTCCAGGAGGCAGTTGTCAATCAAGTGCGTCTCCCACAATCCCTCTGGAGCTCATTGTGCCTGCGGTCGCTGGCGGAGGCAGGCGTTGTGAGGCGGCGGAGAGCCGCAGATGGAGGGAGCCCTGTCAATCATTGTCACTAATTATTAATTTCTGTCACTCAGGGCCCCGTGGCAGCCACGTAGCGGGGGCCTCTCACACGCTCTGTCTCTCCCTCCTTTCCTTCACCATCCTCCTCTCTGACTCATTCAGCAAGTAGGTCTGCATCCCTTTGTCCCTCCCATGTTCAGTCCCTCTCTACCTCCCTTGTCCCTCGTTAAAGTCTGGCTCTCCTTCGCCTTTGCCTCTTTCGTTCGGGTCGCCTGTTGTTTCCATTTCTCTTCCTTCCCTATCTCACCCTGCAGGCTGCTCTCTCTCTCTTTCCCCACTCTCCCTCTCAACACTCCCAGGGTGAGACAATTTGGTATGCCACCCCAGCCACAAAAGTTCAACCTTTCATTATGTGGTGCACGTGCACTAAGAACTGCCCCCTCTCCCCTCCTCTCCCCTCCCATCATCAGGTCAGTCCCCTTGACTCTCTGCTGCCTTTTAATTGTATTCTGCCCTCCACCCCTCTCAGCCTCTCGTTTTCCCCATCTCACCCACCAACACACCACGTGTGACTCCTTCTCTAATTCCTTGAGAATCCCAAAAGACATTAAAAAGACCTGCTTGGCATTTTTTTCTTCTATTTTTTTTAGCTCAGACTCTGCAGGTCTCTGCAGAGGTTCTGATTTGATTTGGTGAACTTGGTGTTTTCAATTTGCACACCGACGCTTGTGCCTGTGATGGCGGCTAATGAGGGAGGTCAGACCCACATGTAGCTGCGGCTGAGAACGGGACCGGTCCACTCCACTAAGGGTTCTGATCCGCTCCCACCCTCACCTCATTACCAGAGGTGGTGGGCTGGGAGGCAAAGAAGAGAGAGGAAGAGGAAGAGGAGGAGGGGGGGTTTGGGGGGGGGGTGATTTCGAGTGAGAGCGCACACACACACACACACACACACACACACAGTCGTTCACATATATTCATGAAAACACACTGCATACACATCTAAATATTCCCATGCCATGTAAGCACACCCAAATGCATGCGCTAACTCACGCTGACATCACATCATTATACACACACTCATATGCATTCACATCAAACATACACACATACACCTTTCACTATACTGTATATATACACACATACATTCATCTTATAATATGCCCACAAAAACATTTTCAATCACAAATATGCATATGTAAACACATAAATACAGTATCTCTTATCACATACCTGCTCATTTACATACTTGCAATTGGAAACATGCATTAAATAATACATGTACCTTGTTCGTTGATAGTCAGTTCACTCTCCCTTACAGTCATTTCACAATGTACATGAACACACATATGCATGATATCACAGAGTCTGGTGTACCCACTCTCCTTTAAACACACACACTATATACATTTTCTCCCCCATTTCTTCCTCCAGGATTACTATTCGTGACAGACCTGTGCTGCTCTAATGAGGGGCCGAGGAAGAGGCCAGCTGGACACCACTGATCCTTCACCTCCCACCTCCCTCCCATTCCTCCATTTATACTTCTTTCCACCCCCCCACCCCCCCCCCACACACACACACACACACATCCATCCATGTGCCCTCACTACCCCCTGCATGCCCCACAGTCCTGCTCTGCATACAGCCATTAGCACCCCTCTACCCCTAACCTTCTGTCTCTGCACCTCCACCTCCCTCCCAGAGCCTGTCTGCCTCTGTCTCCTCTCTTTCCTGTCGCTTGCTTTTCCTCAGCACCTGTCACTTTTCCCTGTCTTCCCATCTCTGTTGTTTTTTCCCCCCTCTCGTCCTCTATCTCTTCTTCTCATCTCCTCTTACCTGTCACTGTCTTTCTCTTCCCATCTGATTGTCTCTTTACTCCCTTTATCTATCCATTCCTTTCTCTCTCTGTTGCCAACCTCCTTTCTCTGCCTCCCTCTATGTGTGTGTGTGTGTGTGTGCGTGTGCATTCAGCACCTCAGTGGAGACAGGGTTTATTGGGGTAATGCATTTATCACTGCAGCAAGCCAGGGCCTCACCTCCTTCTTTGAGTCAGTGAGTAATGAAAATGGGATCACTTCTGACAACACACACAGACTCACACAAATGCACTCCTGCGCGCACACACACAAAACACAAAAATGCACAGTCGTGCTTACTGCAAAAAAAAATAAATGCACAGATTTTAACACACAAGCAGATATACACCAATGCCATCAACCCAACCCCAAAAATATAACCATACTTAAGTGATGCTTATGAGTACACACTCAGGTATTATATATTTCACATGAATTGGCAACTTCTAATTAAATTTTTTTACATTATATAACTGGTTCTTTGTCTTTGATAAATTGCGAAGAAAAGTGTTGCTTTGTAGTTAATTGATTACTCCGAGCATCCAGTAATATAATTATAATAACAGTTGCTTTAATTACACGGAGATGAGGCACACAAGTTGGAGACTTTCCATGTTAAACTGTGAGAAAGAGTAATGGTTGTGATACAGCCTAAATCACAATAAAGAGGAATATTTAAATATGTTCTGAAATGCCCCTGAATTACCTTCTCATCTACCAAGAGGTGTGTAATATTGTTTACTTTATTGTCTCTTTGGAGGGTAGAATACAAAATATAACATGGAAGCTATAAAGACTTTCAGGTTAGAAAGATGTTTACATTTCAACATATTTACTGTCATCATCATTAAGTGACTAAATGAAGGTGAGCTGAGAGAAGTAGAAAATCTTATAGGTATCCTTACATTAAAATAAGGACACCTATAAGATTCATGTTTGAAACTACAGAACAGTCATTAGCAAGTTTTTCCACATTTACTGGGCTTTGATCAGTTCAGAGGGATCCAGTAATTCCCTTATAAATTGCAAAGAACCATTTCATCAGACTTTTTGCAGCAGTTTTCAGCCAAACAATCTGCTCCACACTAACATCAAGCTGATTGTTTTAATAAATTACAAATAGCTGTGCATCACTGTTTGCTAAAACTCAAAGTTTGCAATAATATTTTTGTATATCATGATTTCAATATACATTGTAATATACTTTTTTGGGTAAATTCAATTGTGAAATTGTGTCAAGATAAAATAACTAGATTGACAAGTCTGTCTTTGGTTGCTTTAAATCGAGGTATTCCATCACATTTATGCTGAAATCCAAATTGTACTCCAATTCTTTTATCTCTTTCTTCTTCTATGTGTTTGTTTAACTAGCCTATTCATCTGCATATACTGTTTTATTTTCCTTTCTTTTAAAATAATAATTTTTGTATGTCTGAAAGAGATAATAAATACTGGAGACTTTAATGGTAAAAATAATTAAATTGTATGGAAAATCATATCATAAAAAATGTGCAAATATTTATGGGTAGAGTCCAAATAATACTGAGGTCAGTACTGTTATCAACAACTGAATGTTTAAATTTACAAAACAAAATACCAACAGCATAACTTGGCAGTTATCTCTGATGCCACACTATTCGTGACACTATTTCTAACCTAACTCAAATGATCTATAAAAAGCTGACAGACGATTTTTAGGTTGGGATCTCTTCTTGAGTACATCACTTCACTGCTCACAGTAGCTACTCAATCATTTTGCACTAGCAATGTCTGTTAAGAATGCACTTCATGTTGTTTCTATAATAGGATCAAGTTGGAAACCTTAAAGAAAATCTAAATGATTGTTTTTTATGTTGCACTGCTTGTGCTACAAATGAAACCTTGATTAACGACACCAACCCTAATGCAACATCCAATTCAATTCAAGCAACACTTTTCTTTTGTCCATGAACATGCAATTAAATTTAAAACTCTAAATTTCAGGTGGAATCAGAAGGCAACATGTCCAGATATTGAAGCCATAGTTTTCTAGGAAGAAAGGAAGCAGGTAAGGATCAAGTGTTAATGGCCAGGGGTGCCTGTCTAATCCCATTTGGTCTGGCAGTGTCGGCAGGGTGGGGGAGGTCTTCACCAATTTAAAACGATACCGTCACCACAGGTATTCCTGCTAGGCTCTGACTGGCCTTGACAGAACAAAACATCGCTGCAGCAAACAACTCAAGCACCTCCCACTACATCAAACTCAAGAGGACAAGGTCAGATCAGCAGCAACATAAAGTTTAATCTTAGAAAACAAACTTCTCTTCGAACTGCACCCTGAAACACAGTGTATCGTAGATGAGAAGAGCGTTGCTAATACACCAAGTGGTGCGTGGAGAGCCTAAGTCAAAGGACTGCTGACTAATGTGCCGAAATGGTTGGAAATACTCTGTGGTATTGCAGATGGCAGAGGTATTTGTTATTCATATGGCCCTCAAGGTGCATCCACAAGGCTAGCGAAAAAAGTGTGTGTCTGCACGTGCATGTGCGGATGTCTATGTGTGTATGCTTTTGTGAGTGTGGGTGTGTGTGTCTTGTGCTTCATCCACACTGCTGAGGATGCCATTAATGCTTGCTGCTGATCGCCCTCCCACATTTAAATAACAATAGTGCAGTCAGAGAAAGCATTGGTGTGAATCCAACCCGCAAAACACCCAGGAGCTGCAGGCCCCACGCCCGCTGTGTGTGAGCGTATGCGCGTGTTTGTGTATGTGTGAGTTTAGTTGCACTCGCTTGTGCTCAAACATCCACATACATGCGAGTCTGAGAAAAAAATAGTAAGCCAGAGACAGGAAGAAGAGAGAAAAGACAGTGGGAGAGAGGGAGGCAAGCTGCAGCTGTGTCTAAAATACACATAGTCACTGTGTTGCGCAGATAGGTTGTGCGATGGAAACTACAGGTCCAGAGAGCTGCACCATTAGCATGCACTAGTGGCCCTGGATCCTTCAGTGGATAAGCTGCCTGTCTTTTAAATTGAATATAGGTGGCCAGAGTGCTAACTGTAGGGTATCAGTCTTATTTGTCACCTCAGAAATAACAATATTTCATGTTTTCCTCTTATTGGGGCTTCATTAAAACCATCAATGTTGGTACTCCATCAGGCACAGCAAATAACAGCAGAACATTAAGTCAGTTTCTGTCATTGTTATAATTTGGACAGCACATTATGAGCATCACCGAGCACACCAACATTCAGTGAGTGAGCTCACACAAATAAACATCAGAGAAGATGACAAGGAACAAGAATATCAAAACAAGCAGCAACACAAGAGATATCAGTCCTACTGTTTCCTAGCTACTAATTTCCAGCATCAAGTCCACCCATCTATGTATCCATTATCTATACCTGCTAATACTGTGCAGGGCAGCAGGAGTTGGACATTATTCCTGCTTACATTGGGAGGATAGATCACTAGCCTGTCACAAGGCTGATATAGGCCTACACAAAAAAAAACATCCACATCTACTAGACACCTTGAGCCACCACTTATCCCTATATGGATTTGGACAGTGGGAAGAAACCAGACATCCCATGCAGACACAGCAAGAACATGTAACTGCACACAGAAAGGCCTCAGCAAGAGATCAGCAAGGTCCCATCCGTCTAATATTTAATTATAATCCATTTAAATATAATTCTAAAAACACAGCTAATCATCAATGTGCTGTTGCACATTCACAAGCACCAAGTTAGCATTAAATATCTTTTCTACAGCAGATACTTGTCATAGAGAATCACAGGCGTTACTGACTGACTGTCCCAATAGCCATGACAGTGTAACAATAAGCATGCACATTACTAGGACCTTGAAACTAAAGCAGCTAAATGGAATCATTAATTTTATTAGTTACACCTGTGCTTCTTCTACTGTGACATGTCTTTCATGAAAAATGTCCACTTCTCTGACACCTAATTCCATGGCAATTTGGCAAAAACTGATAAACCCAACAATAATGCTGAAATATAAGAATAGTGTGAACCACTTTGAGGGTACTTACCATAAATGTCCCTTCTTTATGGATGAATTTGGCCCCTCTCCTCTTCAAGTGACAGTGGTGTTTATAACTGTCCACCTGTGAAATATAACTTATACCTTTAAAATAAACTATTAACAGTTCTTGAGCTAGCTTGCAAGTTGTAACTCTAGTTTGACTTCTTTACCCACCACTAAAATGTATTTTCTTATGGAGCTAATTAGCGCCGAAATTAGCGCACCAAAAATAATTCTCTGTGCTTGTCGTAATTTAGCTAGCCTAGAAGCTGGACTGTCCTCCCTGAAAACGAAGCTTTTATTAACATGCGTTTGATAAATCTTGTTGGGACAAAAGTTGAAAATACAAACTCACTTCTCAGCAATATCCATCCATCCATCGTCAACCGCTTATCCTGCGTACAGGGTCACGGGGGGCTGGAGCCAATCCCAGCTGACATCGGGCGCAAGGCGGCTACACCCTGGACAGGTCGCCAGTACTTCTCGGCAACAGTTCGGGAGAATTCAAGTCTGTACTTCAACCTGTAAGTAAAAGTAGACACACGTCTCCCTCAGACCAGGTGGGGCAGATGAAGCCCCTTTGGTTACAACCTGTGTAAAGGTTGTAAAAGTCCAAGATGGCGTATAATCCTGCTCCTTGCTTAGTGCTGAAGTAACACTGGTCGCTGGATAAAATAGTTAGTCTTTTCCTATTGATTCTGCCCATTTTCCAAGCTGAATGGTAAGCCTTAAATGTGAAGACTATGTCATTTTAATTTAGATGAAAAACAACACATTACTACTACTTTAGTTAGTATTATATTCAACAAGACTCACTAGACTCTGTCAAAACAAACAAATGTAACTTTTTTGTTCATTTATTGCAGAATTAGTCAACTGTTATTTGTCTTTTATATTATAGGCCTACATAGGCCTTCATATAAGCCTATGTATAATATAAAAATTTATATATATTATCCCTCACCCCCAGCCAGAACTCTGGATGTGCACATCCTCAACTTTTTGTGTGTGTGACTGTACAATGCACCTTACATTTACATAACACCTATATTATGACCCTTGTTCTTTCTGACCTTTAAATAAACAGCAACTGCATCTCAGCCCCACAGTGCATCTTCCACACACTTTATATATAAAGCTGACTCATTGTTTGTAGTTTTTGTGGACTGGAGGGTGCATCTGATAAAGTGGATACAGAGTGGACATGCAAGATATGTATGTTGTTTTTTATCTGTGTCTACGATGTGCCAGTGCATCCAGTAGTCAATGCAATGCAAATCCTAAAATATAAAATCCTCTGACACTCAACTCCCTCTCATTCTACCCGCTCTGTGTAATCAGAGAAACCATTCTGCATCAGCATCTTTCCATCCACTTTTCATCTTATTCCATCCATCTTACACATTCCTGGCCTACAAGCACACACACACACACACACACCCTTAGTCGCTCATACAGCTGCAGGGTGCTGTCTCTCTCTTCTCACCTCTCTTTTACACTTGAAATGTTGAATGTCTGAAATGTTGGCTGTCACAGAACACCTACTCACTGGCATGTATACACACAAACACACACTATAACATACAATATTGGATAGGATAGGTGGATATGCACACTGATCCCATTCAGATCCTTTGAAGTAAAAGTCACTGTGAAATAAAAGGTTTTAAAAAAAAATACAGTTCACATAAAGCACTATAATTCTCAGATGTCCCTTTGAAGGTTGTTGTCAAACAAATTAAGAATACCTAATAAACTGTTCTTCACATGCATCTTATTTTATTCCATGTAATGTGCCACAAATTGATACCTAAGAGTCACAAGAGTACAGCGCACATGACAAGTAGAGGAGAGAAGTAAGGAGAGGAGGGAAGCAAAGTAAAAGTGGGATGCCGCAGGTGTAGAGAGTTGAGAGACTTTTGGGAGAAAAAAAGACAGAGACAAAAAGAGTGAGAGGTTGAGTCTAATAAGAACCAAGAGACAACGTGCTGGTGTCTTGTGGTGCCATTTGAATACAGGGCAGCAGCAGCTGGAGTCTGTGTCGAACAGCTCTGCACTTCACACAGCATCACCATCATCAGGAGAGCATAGCGCTGGTACTACTCTGCTGGAGTCTTATGCTGCTTCACACACTCCCACAGACCTGTGTGTGTGTTCATGAATGTGGGAATGACTTGGAGCTCCATGGTTCTCATTACTCAGCCACTGTAATGTGCTCTCCTTTCTAGCTTACCGTATTGGGGCTGGTGTTCCCACTGTTGGCTTACAGAAAAGGAAAGGACCGGCCTCACCTCTGTTCTGAATGCATTAGCACACATCACATTTTCAATCTGGACCTCAGCACAGGTTCCCAGCAAGTCTACTGAATAGTAACAGAGTGTATGCATGCAAGTGTGTGTGTGTGCAGGAGAGAGAGAGAGAGAGAGGGGTTGCAGCAGAGTTTAAAAATACCCTTACTCCTGTTCGGTGCTGATAAGTTATGTTATGAGAAACTGCCGGGGCAGACAGCAGGGTCATTAGCATGACTGCCAGATTGAGAGGTAGAGAGGAGAGAAGGAAGCATGGAAGGAAGGAGGGAAGGAAAGAAAGAAATTACACCCAAGTTTCCAAAGTTTTTTAGGGAAACAAGCAAAGCATCCAAACATGAGAATACACATATAATCCAAAGACAAACATGATCCTTCGACCTTTCACCTTTTTAAGCCACTTTCCCACTTGATGATTAGCACCTCTACAGACTACAACATCTGCCTACTTTCTTCATCTGCCACCCCATGCCCCGATGTACATAAAGGTAAACTTTATTTTAATTTTAGTCTGTTGCCTTTCCAGTGGTGGAGGAAGGTAACTCAGGTACTGTACTTGAGTACAATTGTGAAGTACCTGCACTATACTTGAGTATTGCCATCATACTTCCAGGTACTTCTACCTCACTACATTTCTTACACTTTTACACTTTTATGTAACAGTCAACATTGATTTCTCTTCATCATGACAATGTTAACTACCCATAACCATGTCTTTATTAATGTAACTGACTGTGAAGGTCCCCTAACCTTAACAAAGTGCTCATTTCAACCCAAACCATGATCTTTCTCTAAACCTAACAAAAGTCATTTTTGTGCCTAACCTAACCAAACCTTAACCATAGCATTGTCAGATCGTAAAACCGGGTTTGAATCCACTGTGAGACACAAATGTGTCCCTGAGCAAGTCACTTAACCTCTAGTTGCTCCAGAGGCGTGCGACCTCTGACATGTATAGCAATTGTAAGTCACTTTGGATAAAAGCTAAATTAATGAATGTAAATCTGTCATTCTAGAGGGCATTTACAAACAACATATTTTACTAATTAATTTGGAGAATTTGTGTTTGAGAGTTGAAATGATCAGATATTCATGAAAAAGTTCATATAATGAATACACATTTTGTGTAGCATAGCAAGTTTGTTTTTATCTTTCCTCCCCATGAATCATCAATCAAGACCCCTTAGATTTATCTTGTGACCATTCAGTGGGACCTGACGCTAGTTTGGGAACCACTTGACCTAATTACAATAAACCATTAACAGTGTATAAAGTAGTTAAACTAGCTCCACCTCAGCCAACTACAGTAACTGTGCTTGCTACTTTTAACTTTTGACATTTTGCTGATAAGACTTCTGAACCTTTGATTAAGTAAGGGCATTTTACACTGTTGTATTGGTACTTTTAAAGGATCTGAGTACTTCTACCACTGCAGTCCAGTGGTCTTACACCTAATTGTATGTTTTATAAGGCATTACATTTGAAACACAAACCTTAAATTTCATGTTTAGGGGACCTGAGGATTATATGTGACCTGAGGATCATTGTTTTCTAATGTTGTGTTGTATTACAATCCCCCTCAGTCTCTAGGCACAAGTCCACTCCATCATCTTTAAGTCCACTTCTGCCCAGAAATTCTCAGAGGCCTTTTTGACAGCTATTACAACACCAGTCTACTGTCTGGCGCTGCTCAGCAGCAAAGGAGCCAGTTTATTGTTTTAATAGCAGCGATTTCAGTATTCTTTGTGCTGCTGTTGCTCCCTTTAGGAACAACAAATCAAGAAAAATAAAACTTGGATGGCTAAAGGACATGCCTGGGCTGTAAAGAGAAACATAAAAAAGGCACACGTTAATGGAAAGGCTAATAAAGTATGTGTGTCCTACAGAGTTGTGAAGGACTGCTGAAATATCATGAACTGGCTTAGGATGCAAGGGCATGTTTTTCTCAAATTTCATTTGACGAACTGTCTAGGGTCCTTTTCAGTGTTATTGGCTTAGTTGTTGACCCTTCCTCTACTTATGGAATTAAAGCCTCCCTGAAAATGTGAAGCGGTTTTTTACTTTTCTCTGACAGGTACATACAGTACAAACAGGTGCCAAATCAAAGGAAAACTCTGAATAAATGAGAAACACTAAAAGGAAATGCTTCCATACAGGGTGTCTGTAAATGGTTTGATAAAAATAAAATGATGTGAATCAATCCTGTGGCCAGATCTCAACCCCCCTGAACACCAATGGAATGTGCAAGGCAGACTCACCTCATCACCAAATGAGGAAATATCTTTTTTAAAAATGGGGTTCATTGTTGAATCACTGACAAAGAGCACTGGTGGCTCGTGGTGGACCAACACAGAGCGGTGAATGCACAAGCTTATAAGAAATTGAAAGGGACCCCAAAACAAGATGGAGGAAAGCTTAGTCCTCGCTATATCCAGGTATCCTCGCCTTTATGACCCAGCAGCAGACAGTTGGTGCAAAGCTTGGTTTATTTAACTTGTTTGTCATGATTAGTGAAATTGGCGATAGGATAGGAATACGGCGAATGTCAGGAAATATATTTAGGAGGAAATGAGTTGGGACAAAAATGGCATGTTAACAATAAAATCATCATTAACATCACAAGTTCAAACTATAATTAAACCTCACAGTCTGTTTCAGTGCAGTGTGTGAAAAATCCGTGATCCAATGTTCAGCGGATCCAGTGGTCTTAGGTGCAGTGGTCCATTTCTGTTCATCATTCACCCTTCAGTGGAATGAATGACTTCAAGACTCTGCTAATTGACCATGCATGAAGTTGTGCACACAGCACTATTGAGGCTCTTCATGTTGGCTCATCAATTAGTCCCCCATCTGTATTTGTCACTGTTATTCAGCATTAATGCTGTTTGAAAGACGTTTACCCCTCGATCCTGTCTCACATTCGGTTTTGAATCTTGAATTTGCAGTCACTGCAAGCAATTTTATGTTACCTATAACTCTCTAGCCACTGTTAGTTTACCTTCCAGTTTGACAAATTCGACAAGTTCATCCTCAAATTTTCTTTATACGGTGTTCACAGCAAACAACAGGTCTGCCTTC